AAAAAAAAAAAAAAAAAAAAAAAAACATACGGGTCGAATTGAGAACCTCCTCCTTTTTTTGAAGTCGGTTGAAAATAGTAACTGTCTGGTTTGGTAGTCGAAAATATGTGACAGCCGCCCGTTATTAAAAAAATGAAAATGGAAATTGACTACTTACCTCTTATAATTGCATTTTTATATTTTGTTGTATTCGCATATATCTATAATTCTATACATTATTCTGATCACAACTTTTCACGCACATGCACACACATATTCTGCAGAATTAGTTTTGTTTGCATAATTTCATTATCTATTATTATTTATTTTCTTTTCCTTATTGAGGGGCGGAACCGCCGTCCGTGAGTCACTGCAGGGTGCCACCTGAAAACCAGCGTTGGGCAGGAACGCTCAACTATATGCTGAGGTGGTCGACCTTTTGGCCTGGGCACGCGCACTTTATTATTTTTATATCTCGTTCTTTGTTTTATATATATATGTATATATTTGTTTTTATTTTTTTTTAGTTTTGGTTATTATTCTAATTATATTTTGTTATGCTTTAATGATTTTTGTTCATTTCTTTTCTCTTTTATAAAATATATTATTAATGTTTTGTTTTTATTTTGACTGTATTTTTATTTCTATTGTAATGATCCTTGTTTTCGTGTGCCAATGGCCAAATAAATGCATTTTCTTTCTTTCATATTGTTATTAATATTTATTATCTTGTATGCAGCGTTACTGTTAGCCCACACGCGGAATCCATGGGCTCTATGCGCGATACACGCCGCAGCTTGGAAAGCGATGAGGACGATGTAGCCGTCGACGTGGTGGCGGAGCCCTACGTCTTGTCGGGGACCAACGCACATCGCTTTGTGTCCATCCCTCGCTTCATGATCCCGCAGATGGAGGCCTACAGCTTCTTACAGATGAACTGGCTTTATCATATAATGCAGGCAAGTTCTGATTTTCTGGATAAATGTGGTATCCACCAAAGCAAATTCACAGTTGCAATGACACAGGCCTTAAAATCCATTTTGGAATCGTAGAGATCATTAAAAACAAAAAAGCATTTACGCAGTTCAAACTATATGTTTTAGTAGAATAGTTAATTTGTTCTAACTTAGCTGCTCTTTACAACAGATTAACACGCAGAACATGCGAATGTGGTTCAACAAGCAGTTTGAAGAGCTCATGCAGCTGAAGAAAAGAGAAGTGGCCCTCGTTGCTGAGAGAAACGACAGATTGCGTTTTATTATCGAAGGTTTTCTTACTAATTTAATTCCAGTTAAATCTAAACAGAAAATCTGTTTAAATAAGTTGTCATGACAATTTGTACTTATAACTTACATTTTTGCAGAATTGAATAAATTATCTGACTTGCGAGGCAGCTTCCATCATTTGAAAATCGAAATCAAAGACCCAGAGTGGAGACAAGAAGAACACGTTGAAAAACTTATCAAAGTAGAGCCTGAGGAGGTAGGCCATTTAAATATACATTCATCTCTAAATCTTTTAAATTATGGGTTGTTCTTAATCAATCTCATTTTGTTTATATAGTGTTCTATCGAGCCGTACATCAGTCCGAGTCAAATCGTGATCGTGCCTCCAGACCCGGGCCCAAAGGACGACTTCCGTGAAAGAGCACTAATAGAGATGATGGATGGTGTCTTAGAGAAGTTATGGCACGAGGAAATCAAGAAACCTATTCCAATGCCCCAATGCATGGTCGTAACATTTAAATTTTTCTAAGTTAGTAGACATACCTCATTGGTTAATGGTTAGTCATCATAATAACGAGTTTACCCCTTTTAATCTATAGTTGGACAAAGATCCGGAGAACTTTAATGAAGAAGATCTAAGGCAGGTATTTGAATATGAAGCAAAAGTGAAATTCCGCAATGAGGAGAGGGATAAATACCGCAAAATGCTGCATGCTGAATACGCTAAGCTGTCACAAGTGCTCAATGAAGGAATCATCAAGTTCAATCAGAAGGTACTTACCGAATGCATCAGAAAGTGGATATTTAAACTAACCACAACTATTTCTCGGCCAATAATAAGACTTCAAAAAGTTAAAATGTGTATGCAACTAAAATTTATTTATTTATTTATTTAAGGGACAAAAAACAGTTAGATATTAAGATTTTACATAAAAGTTTTACATTAAACAACAACTACAATAAATATGTAACCCACACCATTGCCCACAATTTAGTATAAAATATAACTGCAATAATGACCGTGTTGCGGTAGTGTTATCGTAATTTAATTATATTAAAATTTACTAAATATTGATACATAAAAGGATACAACAAAAAACCATTGTACATTGTACTTATGATTAAGAAAAAGAATACTAATTAATAGCCAACCATCACTGCAGCAACCCAGCAGTCAGAAGCTCCACGGCCTGCTTTCTAAATCTATGTTTTGAAAGACAAAACATGTCCAGACCCATGAAATGCAAGTTGTATATTTCCACTAAGCGACGAAGAGGCGCGCGCGCCCCGGCATTAGTCCTGCACTTGTTAGTGTGGAACAAACGCGGAACCCGCACCCCTCTCTGTATTACAGACCTAGGAACTGCGTAAAATAGTTGATTGGTCAAGTCCATGCAGTCAAATCTATTATTACACAAGCCATGAAGCATCATAACAGCCAAAAGCAAACGTCTAGACTCTAGACTTAGCATATTATAACGTGTAAGCAACTGTTCGTATGGAAGTTTTGAATGATAACATTTGAAATTTACAGATCGCAGGAACTTTTTCTGTACCATTTCCAATCTAGAACTATACTTATTATAGAATGGATTCCAAATTACAACAGCGTACTCAAGCTGTGACCGTATCAGGGTTTTGTGTAACTGCAAAAATGTAGAGGGGCGCACAAAGTCACTGGCCGATCGCAATACGAAACCAAACATCTTAAAGGCCTTACTGATTATATTATCAAAATCGTAAATATCTACGTATTAATAGTTTTGAACCAATTTTATTAAAATGTCATTAAGTTTGATGATCAATTTATTTACTTTTGATGTCACTTGACTAGTTTGAAAGAATTTCTAGAAGTGGACATAACAATTGTTTACTCCTAATAGGTCCGAGATACGTGGCTAACAAAAATCAAAGTGGATTCTGTTATTGGTCAAGAGAATCTCAATCTAATGCGTCTGCGCAGAACAAACCTGGACCGAATTGAAATGTCAGAAGTAATAGAAGATATCAGGTTAGACACAATACTCCATAAATTCTAATTTCTGAATCCAATTTGTACAACTTGTACTTTCCGAGTATTTACCTTTCACATCTTTTAGGGCGCGCCTATTTGGTAATCACTGTGGTAATGATCATTATTTTAAACTTTAGAGACAAAATAGCACTATATGAACGACAGTTGGAGGAGCTGAATGCTGAATTTCAAGCTATACAGGACCAGAGCCTTGATTGCCAGGCTGCGTACGAAGCTCTCACGGCTAAGGATAGACAGATGGACAAGACTTTTAAAAACCACTTCGGTGATCTATCGCCCATCATAGTTGAACAGGCATATAAGTTTTTTAAGTAAGTTTTTGAGCTGGTAAACATATCTTTAGAACAATGAGAGTCAGTAGAACAAAGAAAAATAGACGGAGCCATCCTTATACTTACACAAAGTACACTTACCTTAGGAGGCGGCCGAAGTGGCACCAACGTGTGACGATGATACCGGTGGTGCTGTACGAGCTCGCGTGGGCAGTAGCGAGTGGCACCAAGCCTCCCCTATTGCATCCTGACTGCTTCGATTACGTCAAAGGGTGAGCATGTCAGAAAGTATTAGCTACCTAGCTTCACTGATGGTCTGACTGACAGACTATTATTTATTTTGTATTTGTTGACGTTCCAAAAGTACCAAATTATATTTTAATTAAAATAAATGCTTTGACTTTGACTATTATGTAATCCATGGGGCTTATCTACGACTTTGTACCTCTACATATACTTAGCAGTAGTTGGGACCACAATTAAATCAAAGAGATAAAACAAACCTTCTAACAAAACTCAATCATGTCCATGATCACCGTAGAATGGAGCAGTTAGACCAGATCAGCAATATGCCAACAGTGATGGACGAACACATGTGGACCACTATGTGCAAGCTGCGTAGAGCCAAAACAGAGAACGAAATCCGAGTAAGAGAGCCAAATACTATTTTTTTTTATCGTAAAATGAAATTCTTACTTAATAATATTTATCTGCAGATGAGAGCCCTCATTCAGGAGATGACGTTCGTAGATAGTGCCATTAGCGCGTGGAACAAGGCTATCCAGGCTCGACGGACGCACCTCGTAACTTATCAGAGTAAGGTCGCACAGCATCGAGAGACAGTGGAGTTGGAGGCCAGGAATAAAACCGTTCAGGTACCTATCTGTTACGTCCAGTTTCAATAACCTATCTATCTAAAGATAGAATTTTGACATGAGCTTCATACAAAAAGTGTATCTCTAGTAAGCAAATCTACAGATAAATAGAAATAGGTTATTCAAAGTGGACGTTATTACTCGTTTATGTAGGGACGTAGGTAGGTACTTAGCGTACGTGTAGCAATTTCGTGAAACATTTGAGCTATATTTTAATGTTCTACTGTAGATCAGTAAACAGGACGGTTACACACATGACTTGTATTTTTGTCTTATCTAATAATGATTGGATTTCCAGCTGGTGCTGCCAGCGGGACAAGTGGAGATCATAACAACAGGACATATGGATGACTTTGAAGATGCCACACTTATTCCCAAAGTGGACATCGAGACAATTAACAATCTCATACTTGTAAGGAAACAGTCATTTACCTATACAGTGTACAACACCGGACCTAATATAAACATTCATGCCTTTTTATATTATTCATCTCTTCTCGTAATAATTCCTATTATCAGAAAGTTGGTGCTATGAAGCTACGTATGATGCGCAAACAAATGGAGTTCCGTAAGGGCATCCTAGCCAAAGAATGGGAGCACGCACAGATGAAGATGAAACTACGACACATGAAACAGGAGCTTTACTCGTACCAACGACTGAGGGTAACCATAAATAAATCTGATTTCTTGGACGCTAGCAATATATCATATATAATATACAGCCTTATAATTAACATGTATGTAGCCCATAATGTTCTAATATATCTCTCCCTTTTCCTTGTCTTACTCATTCCTTACTAAATTATTCGCTACGCTATATATCTTAATGCCTTATCCAAAATTACTGTCGCGGAGAACCTAACGGGTAACCGGGGCTCCGACTCGAAATGCAGGAGTAGGAACGGGGTGGTTTTTAGTCAGTAAAAGTCTGACACTCCCTTCCGCCTCACCCAGGCGGGAGCAGTAATTCGATGATTATCGCCCCTTAAAAAAAAATTAAATATACTACCCACCAATTGCGAGTTAACTCAATCGCTAAAGTGCATATTTTTCAGATTCCAAAAGAACTGCAGCTGTACTTAAAAAACAAAGAGCTGGGTTACACGGATGAGCAAGACTACATAAAGATGGAGAAGGAGAATGAAGCTTCCAAGTTGGCTGTCAACAAGATACTCAACGAACAAATTCATAGATCCGCAGAAATTGAGGTGAAGGACTACCAAACAAAGTAAACATGATTTTATTCCCGTCGTGAATAGTTTTAACACGTTGACCAAATATTGTATTTCAGGTGAAATTAGTGGGCATTGAAGCAGCAGCTGAAAAGATAGAGAAATTGATAACGAACCTTAACGTAAAGGTGTCTGAAAAGAAACTGAATGAAGATGCACTGGAACCGATAAGACGACGACGGGTGTACAAAAAGAGGTCAGTAGTTTAAACTACTTGTTGAAAATTACTTAGTAGGTGTGCTCCAACGTAGGCCGCATCATTGCTTACCACCAGCCGACAGCGGCCACATTTAAGAAAAAGATCTGATTGTAAGCAATCAGCGCTCCGCATGGACATCCGCAACACTATAGAAGAGTATCTTTAGCACTTCATATTGGTTACTCATTCTTTACCTACAGGATGGAGACCCTGGTGATGCGCAGCCGCCTGATCAGAGACGTGCAGGCCAACCACTCCACCATCGTGATGCTGCAGACTGAACTGGAACTCCTCCGCCTCAAGACCTACCCCACTCTTGCCAGTTTTCGCACTTACTAACTCACATTCTTTATTATTATTCGTTATTTAAATATGGATAAACATAGACTAATTTATTTTCATGAGTGTTGTTAGTTTTTCTAATTTGTTATTTATTTAATTATGGAAGTATTATACTTCTTAGACTTACATAGATTACTTTAACCTCTAGTTGAAGCACAATAAATTATGAACAACATCAATTGACTTTAACTTTTCAAATAAGTGCTAAAAGATTGCGTTACAAAAAATGTACTAAGGTGAAAAATTAAACACAGAACTGCTGATTACAAAACTTTTATTTTCCATAAACAAATCTACTGTTACTGATAAAATACAATTCAATAATTAAAAGTTCGATACAGCTCAACATTTATAGAAAAACGTAAGAAATTCGCCTAGTTATTAACAGTACAGAAGTCCTTCCATTTCTATCACAAAATGGCGGAGACTCGTGTCTCGAATTAGGACTATTACTGTAGGTTCAGAGACATCAAAGCCGTTGTAATGCGCGTACGCAATAACGATGTAGGTGCAGTCGTTGACAATGTTCGTTCCTTGAAGTAGAACTGTAAGATGTCATGTAGGAATGTAATAAAGTGTACCTATTATTATCTATTATAGATGTTTATACTGATCTATATTTTATAATATTACCCTACAGTGTTATTAAAACCTGTAAAATGTATAGTTTAACATATAATTAATCTGTAGAAACAATCAAAGCGTTTGTCGACGACTGTACCTACGTGCGTATTCAATGAAATTTCCATAAAAAAGTAGAAGTTAGGCCACAATTTCGATTTTTTTTTATAATTTTTATCACACAATTTTTATTTATAACATCACAATTTAGGTATATTACTTGCCGATTATCTTTAAAAATAATATTCCTTGTATTATCACAAAATCTTTTTTTTTTATTTTTTCTGGCGTGAGAATTGTATCAAACTGCGAATGACGAAGACACTTGAAATGTTCCAACAAAACCATTCTCATAACTAGGAACTAGAAAGAAGGCTATTTTTATGAGATTGGGCGGCAAACGAGCATAGGGTTCACTTGATGGCAAGCAATAGGGCCTGCCCATGGACACTCGCAACACCAGAGGAGTTACGAGTGCATTGCTTTTTTAGGGGTTAGGGATTTAAGGCATGGCTATAATAAGAGACTATTTTAGTCTGCTTGTAGTTGTAAACTAATCTAGGTACAATGCACTTTTCCTGCAACATTCCAAGTTGAAACTTTAAAACTACAACTGTGCGCGTTAAACTATTATTACATAGGTACAAAGAGTATTAAACAGTACATATTGATATTTTAGTAAAATGTAGATATGTAGAACAGGGGGAGGGGAGCTAAGATATTGTAAGTATAGGAATACTACACTAGGTTTATTTAACGACATTCATTCACCGTCACCAGCTATAGTTCAATAGATTTGCTGCATTCATTGCACTTTACAGTAAGTATATATTAGTACCTACCTACTGTATTATCGGGGTCAGATTATTAGCTTTTTATGAAGTCCATTGTCAACTATAAAATATGGGATATCTAGGTATACTAGCTGTACGCTTTTCTATAATTTTCAACCCATAATCTTATCTTCGCTTAGAGTGAATCAAGTGAATGAATGTGGTATTTGCACAGATATAATAAAGTATTTCTGTGGGTATTTGTCATGTCCATGTTGTAAATTGTGTCGTATATGTGTGGTACTATAATGAAGCAGCATTCAGCAGAAGAGCTGTTCACGGGTCCAACAGAAATAGGGATCCTATCCTTATAGTTGTAGGTACTTCTTAGTAATATTTTTTGTCTAGTTAGTTGGTTTTCGTTGTATTGTTCACCTCAAACGTCACTCAAATTTTATATAGTTCTGTCACTATAAATTCTTTGTAAAAGGAAAGAGATGGCGCGATATATAAATACAACTTTAAATTGAGTAGTCCTTCGGTATTATTGGCGTAAGAGGCGTTCATCACGAACATCTTTTGCTCCACGCTCGTAAGTTGCACGTTTTGTGAAAAAATTGAGCGTCATGTTATTCATTTTGAATATTCGCTGAGCATTTTGGTATCACTACATAGTATAGGTAAAACAAAGTCGCTATCTGCCATCTCTCTGTCCCTATGTATGCTTACATCTTTAAAACTACGCAACGGATTTTGATGCAGTTTTTTTAATAGATAGAGTTATTCTTAAGGAAGGTTTTTATGTATAGTTACATGAATATTGAACCCATTCTGACTGCACGGTTGGTGCGGTGGCTGGGCGACCGGCTCGCGATCGCGGGTTCAATTCCCGCACGGAACAACCATTTGTGTGATCCTCAAATTATAGTTTCTGGTCTGGGTGTGATGTGTATGTGAACTTGTATGTTTGTAAACGCACCCACGACACATAAGAAAATATTAGAGTGCGGCAATGCTTTTTAAAAAAAAATGCTGTTTGTTTTCTTGGATCTTGACTTGACCAACCTTGGTTTTGTCATCAAACTTGTTTCCTTTTCAGTATATGCTATGAAACCTCATATGAAATACCTAAGTATGTTTTCCTATGGTATTTTCGGTCATGTTAGTTTTTGCTTTTTAAAATACAATTCTCTTTAAAATTGTCCTAGTTGTATATTTCGTCTATAACAGATTATATTTAAGTTAAGTCATTTGTTCGATAACATTAGCCATTCTCTCAATTTCTTTTAATCAGTATTGTCTTATACAACATTGTAGTCTGTCGGTTGAATGTGTTTTGCATATCTATCTGAGGTACAACTTGAATAATATGGCCTAAGCCTGAGACCATTACATCTTAACCTATACGAGATTATGGTTATAAGTGCCCATATCTTTGACAAGGCTGTAGTGGTAACTGTGCTCCATTTGTACGTCATGTCTAGCTTCTATTAATTGAATATAATTAATTTTGTATCTTGGTTGGTCTTGGATTATTATGTAACCGTCTGTCCTCTCTATATTCGACAGTGACGTTTCAATCTAAAGCCGGCGCTCTGGTTGGCTGGCTCAAGTGAACCAACCAATCAGAACGCTTAACTCGCTCGATACTGTTACGATACGAATGCGATAGTTATTCGTGCTTTTGGCCGGCTCTAATGAACCAACCAATCGCAGCGCCGAAAGCAGTCTCGTTTCGATTACTTTTAACGTAAAACAAACTTGTACTGCTTCAGATAGAAAAGCAGTTCCATTTTCCGGAAATATCATCGAAGCAAATAGATATGTTTTACACCGATCTAAACCAAGCTAAAATAAACACATTGAAACGACAGACTAAACATGTTTGAATACATTTTGAATCAGGAATGCCGTTATTTATAGCGCTGTTCGTTGATCATAAACTATGACGGCGTCCGCGTCAAAGAACTGGCTGTGTGACTTACTCAGAGCTATGATGGCCGCGTGTTCGTTGCGCATACGATTCTTGTATTTCTTGCTTAGATTTACCTGGGAAATTGAAGGGTATTGTTACTATAAATGCTGATAGAAAACTGGCTATTGTTGTTTTTGTTAGCAGTAAGTATGTTTTTTTCTATCTAAGGTCACACATATCACAGTAGTGTCCCATAAAACTTGGTTCAGTGGTTTCGGCGACAGTGTAACACTCTTGTAAATATTCTACCTTATGTAGAGCAAGCTTGAGCCTGGCGAGTGGTGGTAACAAGTCTGCGATCTATGTCTTCATTCCCTCCCCTTTCCTCCTATATTTCTCGGTAATTTATTAACCAAGAATCAAAAAATATGACATAACATAATTTTTATCCCCGAAGGTGTAGACAAAGGTGCACATTGCGGCACTTAATGCCACTGTACAAT